GTACGTGTGTACACGCAGACACACATATACACCATGTTTTCTTTATCCATTCGCCTGATGATGGACACTTAGTTGCTTTCATGTCTTGGCTATTGTAAATAGTGCTGCAGTGAATTTGGGGCATATATTTTCATTTTTAGTAGCTGTTGCCACAATAACTCACCAAAAGTAGTCCTGTCAGCTTTCACTTTTCCACCATCTTGGCCTGCAGATCAGTTGGCCCTCCATTTCTGTGTGTAGTGTCTCACTCTACTTTTCTGATTTGTCCCACCCTAAGTTATATGCCTGATTTAGTGTATTTCATTCCCTCCTCCTCTCTGTCAGGGTGCTCAGCCTGGGCACCCAGCCCCTGTGCTTCAAGGAAGCCAAGCAGCCATGTGGAAAAGCCACACACAGGTGTTGCAGCACCTAGCATGTGCCTGGGCTCTGGGCTCTGCGTCTTCAGCAGCTTCCGTTCTGTTTTGGAGGAAGATGAGATTCCTTCAGATGGCCAGAGAATGATTATTAACAGCAATAGGAGTTCCATGAAGAGATCAGTATTGGCTAACATAGCTGGAATCTTTTCCTAAAAAGATTGGATTTGAGCCATAGAGGCACAGCTAGGATTTAGAGAAGCCTGTGGAGGAAGGATGGCATTTCAGGCATGTAGAGTGACATAAGGCAAAAGGTTAGGGGTGGGGAGGTGGAGGGCGCGGCACATCCCCCTGGCTGGTTGGGAAATACTCTGGGAGATGAAGTTGTTCAGTGGCAGGTGCCATTGGCCATTGTATCTAAAACCCTCTCTTCTCTGGAAAATGTCCCTTCACCCATTGCTGCTGTCCACATGGAAGGCTGGGTGGCCATGTTTGTTACATTTTCATGATCCACAGCCCATTGGACGAGGGAAGAAACCGGCACAGAAGGAGTGCTCCCATTGGCCAGAGCATCGACCAGTCAATCAGATTCTCTGTCCTGATAGTTTGAACGAAACCCCACAGACTCTGATCGTTTGATGGTAGATACTGCAAATGAGACTTCAGCTGATTCTTGGGGATTGAACCATCATTCTCCTTTCGCTTTTTTTCTGCCTCCTTGTCTGTTGCAAAATTAGGTATGTTTATGATGTTTGACCACATGAATGCAATTATGCAAGTTCATGTGTATTTATACAACTTGGTGGAAAGCCCTTGTATAGTCATCTCCAAATGATTGTGTATAAGTCAGCCTTACATTACTTTCAAAAAAGTTGTTGTTATTAATTATCAAAATATTGTAGACAGTTTTGAAAATACAAAGAAAGTTAAAATCAGGGGCTGGCCGAGTGGCTCAGTTGGTTAAGAGCTCGCTCAAGGGTGCGAGCTCTGAGAGACAGTGGTTCGATTCCCGGCCTGAGCCGAGCTGCTGCTGAGCTGCCAACAGGTGGCAGGATGGCTCAGC